CACTCAATAAACGACTGTTTTAACTATGAGACAAATCATGCCGTATTGTCAGCATAAATGCTCATTTACTCCGAAAATAAAACGTGCGTTAAAGAAAAAAAAAATTATTTCTGCTTTTTTTTTCTTTTTCTCGATTTCAGCATTCTTTTCTCAGGTAAGCAAAGCTACCACAAAATACTGTACTTAAAAATAAGTTTAAGAATAAGTTTAAGAATAAGAAACTTCATTCCTGGAAACTTAATTTTAGAAACTTCCGCTCCAGACTTTGGATCGCGAGACAGTCCCCGACAGAGAGTCAAGAACGTGACTGAGAACCCGTTCGTTCTGTAGTGGTTATATATGCGGTATTCCTTGTACTTTGAAAGAAAAAACGGGAGACAATTATCGGTATATATACTGGTGCTGGTAGGCTATGGGACAAGGATTGCTGGCAATGGGGGCCCCTTTGTTGATAGGTGTGGGTTGGGTCCTAAGAGTCCTTGGACCTGGGAGAAATTAAACGGCATGCATTCGTGAAATAATCAAAACGACTACAGGACTTCCAACGGATGGACTTTGGTAGGCCTGTGAACGTGTCTAAATAAAGCTGGAAATCTCGTTTCCCCCTTCGTCCCCACTCCTCTTCAGACTCATTAGATGTTTAATGGAGCTCGCCTCGTTTCATAGTCACTACAGGCTTCCCTCGCTTCCCGGCATCCTCTCAAACAGCCAGATAGCATCCATCCCGAATGGTGAGTACGTGGACATTGCTGTCCTCTTTCCTTTTCCTCGTTACTACGCACGTGATCTGAAAACGGGAACAAGGCTTTGGCAGCCTGGCAACAGCATTGTTAAATAACACTCTCGCTAGAGGATCGTGCATTGCGGATTCGCCAACTTGGCGTCGACATCAGAGACCATCATCGCCGAGGTCTGGAGCAGTGATGACAACGGCTGGAGAGTCGCTTTCTTGGGGACGAGCAAGTCGCAACGCGGAACAGTTTGCCTAGGTTACCTGTACGATAACAGGATACAGAGAGTTTCTGTTGCAATGCCCGGATAGTTTACGGTAGAGGTGCTGGAAGATGATTGTGGTGGGGCAGTCCCACCGCGAGTTTTCCGAGGTTTAATCGTCTTAAGCGACCAAAGCAGAGAACAACTTAGCTTGACGAGTAATTCACAACTGAGACAGGGTATGAAGCGACGGGATTTTACTAAGCTTGGATTGACAGAGAGTTGAGGAGGGGCAGGACATGTCACGATCACATGCAAGCATGAGTGGAAAACCACTGGGAGCCTTGTCACATGAGTTTGCATACAGAAACAAATTTTCACTCTAGTTAGACGTTGACCCCGACCTATTGCACGCTATAGTCATGGGTTAGCGGGACTATAGCTACGAGCCAATAATGCTTTTAAAGTGGAAAAGAGAACCTATTAAGTCACTATTGACTACAGTCTAAATACTTAAACATCTCAGCTCTGAACCAACATCATTGTACTTGTAGTGAGGTCAGGCGGGATTTAACACTCAACGTTCAGAGACGCCATACGAGAAAAGAGCCATTGTCAAGTCGTTCAAAATGAATTTGGTTTTCGTGGTCGCTTTCATGGCAATCTATTTGGCGGTTGGCGTGCGTTCAGCGTCCGTTGCTTACAGCATTTCCAACGATAAACTGATGGTCAAGGGCACCGTTGACGTGAACTTGAACATTCCCATAGAAGAAGTTTGGGACGGCTTGTCTAAGAGTAAGAAAAAACTGAAAGATAATGATATTCTCGATAATCATGTTTTTGTCGCTTTAACATTGATTGGGAAGAAGCATATTCGCTCATGGTCGAGTACAATGTCTCCCTCAAAGTTACGAACTTGTTTGTTTTTTGAAAGCCAATTGCAACCGTCACGTCTTGTAAAGGAAGAAATCCAGTACAATTCCAAGTCAGATTTGTCATCTTCGTTGTAGCCTCAGCCTTAACTGAAAAAGCTGCCTGAGAAATGACTGCACATGATTCTGTTTTCAGTTTCGAAGGTCACAGATATCCCATCATTAACAGTGGTGACACTGTCGCTCTGCGGTCTGCCTACACTGCCTCGACGTCTTGGTTGCACTGCCATAAATCTCACGGCGACTGGCATTCCTGCCAAGGCAGCACTATCCTCACCTCCACAGGATGGACCTCCTGCTCAACGCTAACGTTTACTATCACTGCCAGGGGAAAGTCGGATGGAGAACCAATCAACAGTGGCGATACAGCGTCACTCAGTTCCAACAGTTATGGTAGCAGTTACCGACTGTATTGCTCTGCTTCTTCCAGCACCCATTGTACAGTACAATCGTAAGTACATAACCCATTAGTGATCAACAAGAAAGACTAAAGCGAAAAAGGCAGTAAACGTTCGTTAGTAGTTTCAAATTGAAACCTTTAATGCTTTGCCTCTCGATCATGACTTATTTTCACTATTTGTTGTGGGGCAGTACAATTGCTTTTGCAGAACGGTTTTCAGAGAGCGCACAATTTTTCTGGAGCGGTTACTATTATTATACGAAACAGAGCTGTAGCAGAAAAACCGATGAATCACTCCTGAAGCCTGGAACTATCTTATTATAATAATACGTACGTGGCATACAAATACACGGAAGGGTTTTTTTTAAGATAAAAATAATTTTTTTTTCTAAAAAGGAGATTATAGTAACAGCAAAGGATAAAAATAGTAACAAACAATTACTAAGGGCTAAGATTACATCATTTATTTATATGTGGAAATGAATAAATTGAAATGTACTGGTCTTGATTTTGGACCCGTTGTTTTTGTAGAACCACCAGTTCCATGACAGGAGGCGCCTGGCTGAGCTATTCGTACGTCACCTTTGAGATCTACTCCAAGAACGCTGATGATGGGAACCCTGTGCAATATGGTGACGTGGTGGGCCTCAAATACCCATACAGTTCTAACAGCGCCTGGCTGACTCAGGACAGCGGCAGATTTTATCCTCGTAGCTGCAGCAGCAGCAGCAAAACATCATGCGCAGCTGAAAACTCAAACACTGGATTTAATATCTTCAAGAAATTGTCATGAAGGGATAAGTTTTTTAGAGCTGAGGGTCCAAAATCCTCAAACAAACACTCAAGTATTAACGGTGGTACTGTAGATTCGTTTGCGCTATCATTAACGGACTAAAAGTCTTAACTTAAGTATCGGGAAAATTCCCCCGGGGAAGAACTCCCATATAAAAAGGACGGGGATGCTCATCGTACATTTTAGGGGTTAAAAACGCGGTTTTGGTAACCAAAACCACGCCCACAAAAGCCCACAAGCCACGCCCACAAAACAGGATCTTGGTACCTCTTAGAGGATCTTTTCAAAATTTCCGACAAGCGTTCCCGTCCTCCTTATACATTGTATGGAAGGTCGTCCCTAGGGGGAAGCTAAATTGTTGCCAAGGGTCTGCTTTCTTTCTAATAAAAGAGTTGAGGAATTGAAAAATGTGTAATCTGTTCCTTCTACTTCCTAACAAATTTCCCTGTTTTGTTTTCTGTGCGTGATAATTTGGGAGGGCGCATCACGCGATAGAAATCTCGAGCTCATAACGGAAGTTTGGGGAAGCTCCGGGGAGAGCGAGAAAGTTGTGGGAACATGAGCCGACAGGTTAGTGTTTCCACAGCTTTTTCGAGTTCTCCCAAACTTTCACTAGAGTACAACTTGCTTTCATCGATAAAGGTTGGAAATCTGTTGCTGACTATGGTTTTCATTCGTTAAGTATGCACTGAATTTTGTCGGGTGGGGTTAATTGCTTGGGAGGAATAATTTCAGCCTCTGCAAAAGTTTGTTCTTGAAATAGTGTTCCAAACAGACTGTAGTACAACCGGTAAGACCTTGCATTTACACAGTTCAGGCTGCAATTTACATTTTTTTAAGTCTCTCAAACCCCTAGCCGATACCCCTTTCTTCGCTCCAGCCTGGTCTTTGAACAGTACGGTTAAGCTTATTCTGAATGCGTGTCTGTTAATCAGCTTTTCAAGGACCCATTCTCAGCGAAAGAGCCGGTGTGACGGTAAAAAGTCATCATGCTTTCCCCTGAACGAAATAGTTACTATAAAGTAACTAATACTACGGAGCCTTGCTGAAAAGCAAGGAAACCAGTAGATGGTCGATTAGTTTCCGAGTGTCAGGATTTATCCATTCAGGAAAAGAACGAACGCTTAAACCGGGCCGGGCAAACTCCCATATAAAAAGGACGAGGGTGTTCGTCGGAAATTTTGAAAAGAAACCCTAAGAGGTACCAAGATCCTGCTTTGTGGGCGTGGCTTGAAACATTTTTCACCCCAACCTGGAAGAGGTATCAATTCTGAAACAACATATTATCTCCTATCAAATTTTTTACGGTTCAGTACCCTTAAAGTACCACAAAAACTAATACATTCAGAGCTACCAAAACCTTTTATATGGGAGCCTCTCCGAAAAGCTGGTTCAAAGTTGCGACGAAAACAATAATGTAAATTCAAGTGCAGTTGTAAGGGATGTTCTTCACATGTGTGAAGCAAGACTCACTCGAAAGCAATAAATGTCGGACAGGTTACACTTTCTTTACTCATGTTTCTGCTTGCATTCGCGCTTGCAACGTGCAATGTGAACCCTTAATCCAGATCTCCAACGGCCGAGCAAACAGAGTGAGATCTGGTTACGAGAGTAGTAAGCGCAAATGAGAGTGCAAGCCAGCTAGCAGGAAGGAAACGAAATATTTGCTAATGCGCTTGCTTCGTGCTAGTTCACACGTGTTCTCACTTGTTTACTCGCGTGCATATACGTTACACGTGTTAACCAACATTAGGACGTCAGCTTGACGTCATCAATATAGGTAATATTGCCTAGCAACATCTGACTGAACCTGCTAGCGCAGGCTCAGTGAATTTTCGAAGAAGATATACTTCGAGTAGAATTGTTATACATAAGTTTATTCCACCCTCAGGGCTTTTAGCTTTGATCCTCTGAGGAAGTAGAGAGGAACCGTGCAAGTTTCTTCTTTCAAATAACAGATTTATGAGTGGGTGATACGACGCCAGTAATTGTTTGATCTGCCGGATGGTATTCCCGTAAGCTGTGCCACTGCGCAATAGGTTTCTTTGACGTCATAGCCTCTTTCCAGTGCTGCAGTTCCAGGCCNGTGGGTGATACGACGCCAGTAATTGTTTGATCTGCCGGATGGTATTCCCGTAAGCTGTGCCACTGCGCAATAGGTTTCTTTGACGTCATAGCCTCTTTCCAGTGCTGCAGTTCCAGGCCCTCCGTGTTAGTCCCCATGATAACGCGGCCTATAACTTGATCAGGAGAACTTTCCATTTCCTGTTTGACAAAGACTTGCAGGCGAATGTCTTTCAAGTTAACGTCGGCAACATCAAAGGCTAGAGCCTCGTTATAAACCGGAAATAAGCTGCCTGTTCGGAGAGTTGTTGTTTTTCTTTTGCGTTGTCTCTTTTTGATGTTGATCATTACACCTTCGACGTACATGGCTAAAATTAAAAGAAGACAAAAGAGTTTGCTTTAGAGAATGCTTTAATGTAACATAGCTAAGTGAGCATTTGATAGCCCGTGTCCCAGGTTCCTTAAACCTCTCTATCAAAGCGAGGCCTGGTGCACGACCATTCATATGAAAATGAGCTTAATTTACAAGTGAATGAAATCCTATTTTCATATGAAAGGATGGACACCAAGACTCGCTTTGAAAGAGGCTAAAGGTAATTCGGAAATGGCCTATNATATTGCCACTGTAGCTGAGCCCCTAACAAGGCTGTTTCGGATTTTAATTACATTGGTGTCCGGTGATTATTGAAAAATGATGATAAAAGGCATAGAAGTCACGTCATAACGCGCTATATCGTGCTATGTGACGTCATCGGGACTACTCAGAGAGCGCATTAAATTTTACGAGGGAAGTTCAGGGATTAATCAGGTGAGCGTTTAAGATTCGGCTGGGAGCGCATGGCAAAGCCATTTCCAACTTGTAAGCATAATTATTCTCTAAAATGAACCATACAAGGTCAAATTAAATATTAATGGCATCAATAACGAAACGAGGCTATGAAATCACTGAGAACCTCTTTTCTGGTGAGCAAGTCATTGCTCTTTACAGTCAGTTTTATAAACCAAAGGGAAACAACAAAAAAGAATCTATTTAAGTGCACGCGTAGTTGACGCGTGGAAAGAATACATGTGAGCGATTCGATCTGAAAAAGCTTAATTAGACAACTTCGTAATTTTGCTCCACTTAGTAAGAAATGGGTGCGCGGGGAATCAGTCAAAACCAGGGATTTTGATATGAAAAACGATCAAAGTTAAATATGGTATCTACAGATTGTAAACAAGTTCAAACTACGCGCTTGAACGGGCGTGGTTTGAATTACCTCAGAACAAGACAATTTCATTGTAAAGAGCGCGACAATGGTTATTTTGATATTTCATCAAAGCACTGAAATCTGATCTCGTGGGCTCAATAGATAATTTATCTACTGCGTGTGCCAATATTGATGTTTATTTCTCAATCCCTGACCTGGGAATCCTTCCTTGGCGGGCTTCAAGTGCTGCGCCTTAAAAACTACGATCGTCAGCCGTCTGGTCAGCGGCATAAACATAAGTGAGAACAACACCTGGCCGAAGCCTAGGTCACGTGGCTGATCCTTCACCTGTCATGGAATAAAGCATCAAATGAAATGTTACCATGGATACTTTTCGCGTTCGTTTCGTTTAAGCTGGTAGGGCTAACCATAGTCAATGCAATCGCTCTGAACTCGTTCCATATATAGCTTGATCCTAACAATAAAAAGCGGTATTGTGTGGTGACATTTGAGCGCGAAGGTGGTCGCCGCGTTTGATTGGTGGAGAAGGTTGTGCACGAGTTCTTTTGAAGGCTCTTTTAATCTTTTCAAACGCGGACGAAGATTCACGCGTGACGGAGTCACTTGAAGTTTGCGAGGAGTGCATAGGAGAGACAGGTAAACTAATTCGTCATTTGTTGAACAAGTTCATTTTGAGTAAGTCTCTTAAAAGAAATTTCAATTCTTTCATGTCAATTCTACATACTACTAACCTCTCTGTTCACCTGTCTGATGTTATAATTAGTATCTGTATTACCTTACAGAGCATCATGTTCTTCCGCTGTAGACAGACGAAAGTAGCATAGAAGAGCGCACATAAAGTGAACCCTCTTCTTTGCTGCTGACCTCTGTTTACAAGACACCTGCCATAGTTTTGGCATTTTTAAATCATGACATTTCCTTCTAATTTTTGCCTTCTACGTATCATTTCTTTTGTTGTAGACAGGCGATAGTGAGCTCTTGTCTACTGCTTATAATTATTTACGGGGATCCTTTAAAACTCGTTTTACCTCACTGTACACAATCATGCTTTCTAATTCTTGCTTTTTTTTTTATCACTTCTTCTGTTGCAGAAAGGCGATAGCAGTATCAGGGAGTCCACATTAACTGAATCCTCTCCTATACTGCTGGCGTCTGTTCACAAAACACCTTCCGTAGTTCATGTGCCATTTTCACAAACGGTCCTTTTTTTCCAATTCAGTCGTGCCCAGCCAATGCTACACAACTATTACTATGATAGTTCTTTTGGGCGAATCATTGCTTCTCAGATTTCGCTCATTTGTACACTATTATTTACGCTATACTAAACTAGACTAACTGAACCTACACTTCTAACATCTTTTTACAGTGCAGATTCTGTAGTCTTAGTGCTCCTCTAGTGTAAATTAGCATTTCTAACTCGCAGTTTCATATCCACCTTTTTCTGTTGCAGACACTGTCTGGTGATAGTATTATGGAAGAGGGCGCATGATTCAGTTAATTCGCTCTTGTACTATTCCTTGTCCTAATGCTTCTCTCCGGTCCTTTATTCTGTCTAATTCGCTCCCCGTTATACTACTAAGGTGGGCTTACCACTAAGAGGCCATAGTCTTTGGTGGTACTTTTCTTATTCCATTCCTAGAGTACATTACTATATTACTCTGGTCTGTTTACAAGTAACCTATTGTGGCTTTTATCATGTTTATATTTCTCAGTTTATGATCATTCCTTTGAATTTGCACCTTTTTATATATAACTGATTTTTTTCTGTTGTAGACAGGCGATAGTACCCTATGGAAGACTGCACATTTAGTAATTCCAACCCTGTACTGCTAACATCTGTTTACAAGGCGTCTTCTGTGATCCTTATACTTTTCTATAGACGATCATGTCTTCTAACTCGCTCCTCTCCGTACTACGTAAATCGCGTCACAGCAACCCTTAGTTACTGTAACATTTGTGTATCGCTAACGTCAATAAATCTCTCACCTGCTGTAGTCTTTGTATTTCTCTGCATACAATCATTTCTTCTCGAACCGTTCCAGCTCCTACCATTTCCAAGTGGTCCAAGTGGTGGGTCACCTCCCCTACGGGGAAGGGGTGTGAAAATTTGTCCATGTACATTAGCGTGAAGCTTAAATTTTGTTGTTTGACCACATCGTATGGCAAACCAAATTCGAAGACTTCATTTAAGTTTGGATTGGCGTTTCTTTCGTGAATATCTGTTTTGAGAATCTCCTTCTTCATGGCTGGCACCAGCTTAAGTTCTAGAAAAACATTTGGAGAATCGCCGGCATATTGTGGAAATTCTTCTCCCTTGATGAGCTTCACTATAAGCACAGTCCTGTAGACGAAACGAGATACATTATAGAGGGTCATCGCGTCTCAGGTAATTCTGTTTCTTTTCGCCAATTAAGATCTCTAAACTTCATAATCAATTGTTGACCCCGATGTTTCTCAATTTGTTTGTAACAAAGAGTCAAGTACACAGTTATGGCACGAGAACAGCCAGCAGTTATCGATCACACCATGTATGGGTTATTGACTAAGTGTGGGGTCAAGATGGCTGGATATTGGCCTCGTTCTTTTTTTGTGTGTTTATGGACCGAGACAGAGTCGAGGTCCATAAACTCGCAAAAAAGAACGAGGCCAATATCCAGCCATCTTGACCGAACAAGCTTGG